AGAGAGATGGGAGTTCTGAGCTAGCAAGAAAAATAGAAAACAGCAAAAATTGTTCGGGCTCACCAATTATGTAGTGGTTAACGGCCCTATGGAGTCTCTAGTGAACTGAACAAATTACTGGTGTAAGCCAGATGCAAAGTCACAAAGAGAAAAATACAAGTAAATCTTGACTCACAGTTCAAAATAGGAGATTCCGTATTTCCGTATTCCGTTGAACCACCACACAAAGAATAGTTCTATCTTCCTGGCATCCCAGATCTCCGGTGATCGAAATAGTATTCCACAAGCGCGAATATATTAGTCCAGCGTTTGTAGCTGAAATGTTTGTTCACGTTTAGTATTAGCAGCGGTCAGATATAGCTAACCGGCGGTCACAACAACAGTCACTCAGCAGAAGTCTCAAAGTCACGTTGGAGCCAACGCGCGGGCGGTAGCGATTGTATTTCAGTAAAACAAACTTTTGTACAGCGATGTGACTGGTAATGATGGGAAAAAAGAAGATGATACTGAGCATGAAAAAGAGCAGTTTACAAGTGCTACAGGAGCACTGTCGCCTCCAAGGGGACCTAATTCTTACTTATGCCCTGTTTGAACAAAGCTTGACCAACAGGTTTTTCACTGTTGACCCGGCGAGCACACGGCAGGGACATAGTGAGCAGATTTTCAGGCTCAGAGCGCACACATTCGTTAGGAAAAAATTTTCTCATCTCGGGTGGTAGGTGCGTGGAACGGCCTTCCTCCGACGGCAAGCATACTGCCCCGCGCTGAGAACATAAAGAGCAGTGCTACACCCTTTTTTCGCTTGTGCCTTTCAGGTGAACGACAGCCACTGACCGACAAGAACAAAACCGACCCGGGAAACTTGGGCAAAATCCCCGACCCTGTGTAGCAATCCGTGAATCCGTGATTGGTGACCTTGAACGAGCGGGCTTTTGTACATTCTGGTGTGTAATATTTTGGGTTCGGGATGCCACTGGAGAATCTCGAGGAAGAGGGTCTGGAGAAAATACCGGACTTGCGGCTTGCCCAATGGGTGTTCCGGGCAGGCCTATCGAAAACAACGTCAGCGGACAAAGAGGAACTGCAAGAGAAAATTATGAAGGTTATCAGAGAAGAAAGTGAGTTTGTTTCAGCGTAACTCTTCATTAAATAACTGTCAAGGGCGTCATGCACACCAAAATATTTGGCAGATGTCATCTGTTGGTCTTAAGCTTAACGTTGAGGGACGACCCTAGGTGTTTTTGTCGGTGTGAAGCTTCGACAACGGATTCGGTCGCGCGGTTATGCTGCAAATATGTTAGCACAGGGCATCCTGAGTCGTCGCACAATTAGATGAAGACTTTCCTCTGTCGGAAGTTGTTGCGGTCAGTGAAGGTCGCTAGGAATGTGGCTGAAATCTCTTGATTAGAATCTGGAAATCCGGAAGCATGCCTTACAGGGGACGGATGTTTCCTCCCTCGATCCCAACGTTAGCTCTTGGTCATTATGCAGAGATGCCTGACATAACACCAATTGGTGGAGTAATAATGTACTAAGGGTAGAACACTAGTAGAAACATTTCGTAGGACAGAAATTACCCCGTGTTCTAAGTGCCCTGTTGGACGATGGTAAACGAGCTGGCTTCCGGCTGTCGTAATCCACGCACATGACTTGGCAGAAAGGCGTGAAAGAGATCACGAAGAGTTTGGGTGTTGTTGGTGTTGTACGCCTCCCAGGATGGGGTCCCCGTGACCCCGTCTGTGCTTGGCTGGAGACGTTGCAAGAAATGGCGGCTAATCGATGTCAGTGGCGTTCTTGCTGTCAGTTTCTTTCCAGATTCTCTGATTGAGCGGTTGGAGGTGTAGGCACCTCAGTATGCTTGACATAGGCTAGCACTAGGTCCCCTCCCTCACCCACTCTTTTTCTCTTCTCTTCACTGTAGGGCTTTTAATACAATCATTTCAGTGCCAACACTGATGTTGCTGTCTTTGATGATGATGATGAATCCACGCTTCGTGAATTGGTTTAAAACCGCTGAATCAGGAGTTATTATCCTCGACCACGGAGATGTCAAATAGAGCTGGAGCTCGGTAGGCCCGATGTATGGACTGGGAGCTTCATTATTTGTTCGACAAAAGAATCAAGCTCGAGATTTGCTACTTGGTTTATCCGAACGTTAATACTGGTGCCCATTTAAAAAAAACACTCAAGGTAAATGTGGCGGTTATAGAGGAACCAGTATGACTCGTGACCAGGTTCTTTGCATCGCTTATTTTACGCGTACGGGATGAAAAAACTCGCTGTTTGACCGTCGGTCTTGTGAGAATATTGGTCATGGGTCATGGGAATATTGGTTCAGGAATATTTAGATGCGTCAGATGGCCTGAAGTAGGAATAACGCCCACGCAACAGACAAGCTAATCGCAATTAATGAGTGTCACTGGTTAGGACAACGCCTTGAATGCGTAGCTTCCCAGTCTTCTGTTCTTTTGAATAGCGACCGACTCATTACGAATCATTTGGTTGCATCATCCTCTCCCTCTAAAGCCCCATGAAGAGAAACTTGATTGTGTTAACCAGCTTACTTGTCTGAGTGGCTGCGTAAGGCGTGACTAGACCTCCAGATAGCTCGGCGGTTACGACGTAAACTTACTGACCGGAAGCTCTGTGTATCAAACCCAACCTCTGCCTCTTGACTGCTCTCTTCTAGCTTTTGGAAACCTAGCAGTAACTCACCGCGTGTGTTTCCTTCGTGTTGCATGGTAGCTAGGTGCCGGAACGATGCTGTTGCTGGACGATTACCATTTTTTACAGGCTGTGAAAGGGGGCGTTGCACGCATCATCAAGGAGTGCGCTGGAGATCCGGGGACCCGATGCTTTGCAGTGTGGCAGAGATTAGATGGCTGCGGTATGCTGTCTATGATTAGGTGCGTAATCGAGCGCCTGGTGTTTACTCAGAATCAATAGGGCAGCCAATAAAGCCCATCAGCTTCATGTAGGTTCGTCATGGCCAACGACTGTCTACCGAATAAATTATCATTTTCTGCTCAAAATCCCGCTGGGATTCTCGCGTGGGACAGGCTGTGACCTGGCAAGACAAAACGAGGGCGGAGATCTTCGTCTTTCCTTGACTGTGATCCACGAAGTTAGAAACCCCACAGAACATGGCACGTAACCGGTCTTGGTGGCACACTGGATTACCTAGCTGCAATTTGTCTTTCGTTTTATGCTGTGCTCATTTGGAGTGAGCTTCTCCAAGGATATTGAGCGAAACCCATTTGTTGCACTTATTTCGATTTGGTGCCTGGATGTGTCCGTTCCGTCGCGCTTTCAAGGGGATAGTTTTTTCGTAGTTTTCCTTGAGGACAAGGCTATTTTTATCACTTATCTGTCACTCCATTTTTCCAGCCTTCACTAAAGTATTACTCATGACTACATGTATGTGTTTCACTGGGTATAATTTCAATAACAGTGGTCACGTTGACTTCATCTTGGAAGACGAATAGCACCCGGGTTTTACGTAACGCAATCCATCCCCATCTTCCAAGTCAAAGTTTTCCCTCTGCGTGTTTCAGTCTGGACTAAGGACAGAAAATAATGCCCTCCAATATATATGATGATTACATGCGTGGTGCATGGTAGTCGTCTTAGTTTGCAATGCCGCATGCATTTCTTAAGTGGACTACCTGATGCTTCATCGGACACCCGTTTCACGGTAAATTGATTGCGAATTCGTTGGTCCCAACGGATTTCATGTATAGTCCCAAAACGTCAGTGGTCAAAGATCTGAGGGTTTTTCAGCTCCTTTATCCGTGCATGCAGATCCTCGTAGCCTTAATGGAGCTGGTGCAGTAGTCAGATACACTGATCCTTTGGAAACTAACAACCTAGCTTTTTGGTGCCACAAATGGGGCGAATTGGCCAAAATAATTGTGGCCCTGTGGATTCGTGCACACTATCGTCAAACCTAACCCGATTTTCCAGATGCATATATTGTTTCATAACCCACAGACCTGTTCAAAGACATCCGTTTGCATGCCAATTTGGTTTGGACAGGAGACTCATCCGGTGAGACGTTTAGAATATGTCCGAGAACCTGGAACCTAGTTGAATCTCTTGTTCCTGATGTTCTTAGGCAGCTGACTGTGTTACACCACGTCGCCTCATTTTCAGTTGAGGCGAGATGGACCAAGTGGTTATAGCGCGAATTCACTGACCTGTCCGTGGTTCGAACCCGGCCTCTGCCTCTCGATTTCCCCTGTCTAGGCTTGGGCGACCTGGAAGCACCCCAGCCCTCGTGCCTCCGTCTGGCATGGCAGCTAAGCACCGAAAGGGTGCTACGGCTGAACGATTCAGTTGTCACGATTTTCGATATATCGCGTTACATTGTGTAGACATTCTAGAGACAGGAACCTAGCTGAATCTCTCGTTTATGATGTGAAAAGTAAAAACCAAATAGGTGTGAAAATGGGTGTATTTTGCTGATGTCGGGCAATTTGGCTCAAGCAGAATATACGGTTGACGGGAACTCGGGAACTGCGCCTGCCTGATGATCCCCAAGAATAGTGATCCGGTCGCGGGCCGTCGAAAAGCTTTAAGTAACCTTATGGGTAGTGCATTCATACAATATTCACAAACTGCGTCATACAGCACAGTGGATGCCGAAAGCATCAGATCAGATCTCTTAGTAACATGCGCCTCTCTCAAATGCGAGAACACCAACGTTTTCATAGTTCAAACGGGCAGCGTCCTCGGGTTCGGAGATCTGAATACGGGTTTCGGAGATTCTTGAAGATCCCCCTCGCCACCTTGTTAATAATAGAAATGGGAAATAAAAAATGGAGTGAGGATCACAATCAGGCTTCACTGTTCATAGTGCAAATTTTAGAGAGCTTATCGCATCATCACACAGATACAAAGAACGTTTGTTATCCACGAGCTCATTGGTTAAAGCGCGAACTTGCCCATTATGGTCCATGGTTAGAACCCAACGTCTTCTCTGTAGGCATGGTGCGGACAAATCGCATGGCAACTGAAAGACTGACAGATCCGGATGTCAGACGAACTTACAAGAATCGTCTTCTAGAGTCTCTTCCAAGTGCTCCACCATCAGATGTGAACTCATACTGGGACGAGATTGCTACCTCTTTGCATAGTGCTGGGAATTTTGCCTGTGGCACGACCCAACCAGGCGCAC